AAAATATACAATTTAAACACTGTTCAGCAACAGCAAAGAAATGATAAAACATTTTCACAGTTTCTACTGGCATTATTTCTATCATGAATATTTAGATTTAGCAGTTTTTTCCCCTCCATTTCAATTGTCTTTTGTATTTATTATATTTCGGTAACTAGTAACATTCTGATGTATATTGTGAAAACTTTATCTTGCTGGTCATACTTGAAGCATATATGAACATTCAAGTACATTCAAGTACTAAGTACATTAAAAAAATGACATTCAATTTTGCATAAAAAACTATTTCACTTTAATATTTAAAACTGCACTGCAAAAATTAATAGTCTTAATATAAGAAATAAATACTTGGTTTGAGCAGATATAGACTAAAATTAAGTGAAATATTCTGCCAGTGCAGTGAGATAATCACACTTGGTAAGTCAAGTCAAGTCAACTTTATTTATATAGCACATTTAAAATAACCAAGGTTGCCAAAGTGCTGTACATAAAAAGCATATATATGTGATTTTAATGTAAAAATAAATAAATAAATAAGATGCATAAAAAAGGTAAAAAAGGTAAAAAAGGTGCCCTACCTCAACCTAAGGTTACAATGTTAAAAGCCAAGTCAAATAAGTGGGTTTTTAAACAGGACTTAAACTCCTCTATAGTCTGGGCAGCTCTTATATTAAAAGGCAGGCTGTTCCAGAGCTTTAGGGCGACCACATTAAAGGCTCGATTGCCGTTTGTCCTCAGTCTTGTTTGCGGGACCACCAGCAGCAGCTGACTGGCTGATCTCAATGTTTTTACGGGATCATACGAGTACAGCAGGTCAGTCAGGTATTGTGGCGCGAGCCCATGTAAGGCTTTAAATACTATTAGTGAAATTTTAAAAGCAATTCTGAATTGCACTGGGAGCCAGTGGAGTGAGGCCAGAATAGGGGAAATATGGTCACGCTTACTTGTACCAGTGAGGAGACGGGCAGCTGAATTTTGTATGAATTGTAGGCGATGGAGCAGTGACTGGTCAATACCAACATATAAAGATGTTGGTGTAATGTAATGAAAGCATGAGTTACTTGCTCAAGGTCTGTGGGAGATAGACAGCCTTTTATCTTTGCAAAAAGTCTTAACTGGAAAAAACCTTTTTTTATAACTGAATTGAGCTGTCCGTCAAATTTAAAGGCACTGTCAAGGGTTACAAGAAGGTTTCTGACAGTAGGCCTAATGTTGGGACTGAGGGAGTTGAACGAACCAACAGGAACATTTGAGGGGTTACATCCAAACATAATAAACTCAGTCTTACTTTCATTTAGGTTGAGGAAGTTCTTTTCCATCCACGCTTTAACATCTTTTAGGCGCTCCAGCAGTGGTTGTGCAGAATCACCAGAGCTAGACTTCAAAGGCAAAAAGATCTGTACATCATCTGAATAACAGTGAAAAGAGATATTATGCCTCCTGCAAATTGAGCCCAGTGGAAGTATATATATATTAGAAAGAGGATTGGGCCAAGAATGGACGCTTGGGGTACTCCAGATGTAAGAGGGGCTGTGTCCGAGGTGAATTCCTTTAGGTGAACTGAAAAACTGCTATCAGTCAGGTAGGATTTAAACCATAGGAATGCAGAGCCTGTTATTCCAACACTATGTTCTAGCCGGGATAATAAAATCCTGTGATCCACAGTGTCGAAAGCAGCTGTCAGGTCGAGGAGAACCAGGACAGCAAGGTTTTCAGAATGGAAAATTAAAAATAGGTAATTTAAGACTCTCAATAATGCTGTTTCAGTGCTGTGAAATGGTTTGAAACCAGATAGAACTTCTCATGAATGCCATGGCCGAGAAGGAAAGACTGTAGTTGGTTAAAAACTACTTTTTCTAAGACCTTTGACAGAAATGGTAGTTTGGAAATTGGTCTGAAATTAGACAGGACTGAGGGGTCTAGATTTTTCTTTTTAAGAAGGGGCTGGACAACAGCACGACCCCATGTGGGGAGTGGACCAGAGATAAAAAACAGATTTCCCACACCTGTTGAGAAAATTAAAAAGCTGGATAAAATGGGCTTTTGTCAGCTCCGATTGCTGGTGGGCGGTGTTATTCGAACCACAGTGAATGATCACTTTTTTAATTGTGGCGGGGGCTGACTCCAGGAGGCCAGGGAGTTTTTCCAGGATATCGGGGGTCGTAGCTCCAGGAAAGCAGCGTGTGACCGCGTTTGCGAACCGGATGCGTCCGACGATAGAATCACCAATGATCAAAGCGGTTTGGGGGAAAAGCGGGGTAGGTGCAAAGTCACGGGAGTGAGATAAGGGACAGGAACAGCAGGAGCAGCAATAGCAGCGGAGGATGGGACCTCAGCTGCGGCCGCTGGGGCTCCTGAAACAGGGCTGTAGTCCAACCCTGGTGGCTGGGGACGGGGGAGACCACCACGAGCAGTCTACGGGGGAAAGAGGAGGAGGAGGATCTCCCACGCTGTCTGATCAACACAGAGGGGGCAGTAGGATCAGATGCGGCCATCGGGGAGGTCGGATGTTCACCACGGACCACATCCGTCCCGTACGGCAGGTGTGTGGGCCGATTTGCTGGAGAGTTGGGGCCTGAAACCTTGGGCCTGGCTCCAGTCCTGGACCACACAGCAGCTGCAGATGGAAGAGCCATCGTCACAGCTGCCACCGGAGGAGCCGTCTGAGGAGAAGTAGTAGGAGCGCCAACAACAGAAACAGCATCGGCCATGGGGACATCAGCAGGGTGAGCAGGGACGTCAGGTGGCAGCGTGGCAAAGCGATTTGTGAACTGAAGAGATGGAGGCGAGGTAGCGCAGGGGCTTCCACTTTTACCTTTGCCATTACCCACGACCACTGACCAGGGGGCCTGTGAGCTGGGGGTTGAGCATGAGGAGGGCCGGTGGCATAATGAAGGAGGGTCCCAGAGGGTGGTGTCGGCCATGGCTGAATCCATGGTGGAGATGATTTTAGACTGCATGGCTGCAGTGTCAATGAAGTCAGTAAGAAGAGACTCTTTTTTCCGTAGTTCGTCCGAAAGCCGTCTGATGTCTGCTTTGAGGTGAGTAATGTATATTTCCGTTTTCTGGCAGTCCTCGCAAGGGGTGATGGAGAAAGGTGGGGTATACGGTGTCGTGGTTGGAGCAGTTTTCCAACAGCTCAACTGAGGGCCCTCGGTGCGCCGTGTAGCCATGTCGGCCATCTTTGATTTCGTCCACACACCAGGATTATGGCCCTAAACACAACCCAAAACAAACAAGGGGAGATTGATTACCCAGGTGTGCTAACTCAAAGTCATAAACATATTGTTTTCAAGATTACTGACTTAAATTTCATATTGACACATATTGCACTTTCTATGGCTTTCTTAAAAGCTAGGGTTCTACCCTTAAGTAGAAGAAAGCTGTCAGAAGTGGGATTTGAACCCACGCCTCCAGTAGAGACTGCGACCTAAACACAGCGCCTTGGACCGCTCGGCCATTCTGACACAATGAGACTGTTCAACTGGGGGTTTCTCAGAGTTTTTCCCACAAGGCTATATGTTTTAGAGACATGTGGTGAAAGTGGGGGTGACACGGTAGCGTGGTGGCTGACACTGTCGCCTCACAGCAAGAAGGTTCTGGGTTGGAGTCCCGGGGGAACCAAGACCTTTCTGTGTGGAATTTGCGTGTTCTCCCTGTGCCTGGGTGGGTTCTCTCTGGCCTCCTCCCACAGTCCAAAAACCTGCATGTTAGGTTTATTGGACATTCCAAATTGCGTTTAGGAGTGAATGTGAGTGTGTGTGGACTGGTGGACTGTCCAGGGTGTACCCTGGATAGGCTCTAGTTCTCCCCGTCACCACATCAGGGAATAAGCGGTAACAATAATGGGTGGATGGTGAAATTTGGGGTAGCCCTCTTTCTTTGAATGGGATTGTCTTATTGGTTCTAACTTCAGTTACAATGAGAAAGTCTGGACAACCTCTATAAAATCGCTTGACAAAGAGGTGACATTCCCCTCATAAACATACAACTGATGCATGTGAAATTTGTCCTGTAACTTCTTCCTTTGGACTTTTTCAGGAACTGATCGGACAGAGAAAAAAAACAGTTGAAGCCTCAGGAACCTTAATGGTAGTAAAGTATGTATGTACAATCCAAATTGCATGGTAAAGAGAGCTTTACAGCTAGCAGAAGATGGTTTTGATCCACCAACCTCTGGATTATGGGGCCAGCACAGGGCCTCTCACACCCCAGCAGAGACAAAATGCTCAAACCAAAGTGCAGCTTCACAGATCAAATGCAAAAAAACTTGTCCTGGTCGTACAAGTGGGACAAAAAACAAAGGATCTACAGTATACTTAGTGTAGATAATTAGTATAGATCCTTTTTGTTGGTTGGGTTTGTATCGTTGTGAGACTGTGTCATTCATTACATTAAGAGGGTATTCAGAGGTATTTTGCTGAAGCTTTGTTGAAGCTGTATACAGAAGCAGAAGAGGTCATATTTAGAACATTATTTGTATTTCAAAGGAGAGCTAAAATTTTGTTACTGGTTGTTAAAGATTGCGTTTTACCACCAACATTAATTTTGTACCATTTTTGTACCATTGAAGTTAAATAAAGCATATTCATTAACATCTGAGAAGCCTGTCTGAATCCATCTTGAGGCTGGGAAAAGTGTCCTCCTTTTTGGAAATCAAAATACCATAAGCACTGTTCACACAAAAACGGGTCTTCATCAACTTTCTGCAGAGTCCCTTTCATTTCAGTCAGGTTTGTTGGTTGCCACCTTGAAAAATCACTAGATGCTGATGCCTGTGAAGATTCTCAGTCATCCCGGTCATGGTTAAGCTTGAAAAATTCAGTTTAGGCAACTGGTTGTGAAGTTGCTGATGCAGATGTCAGGACCTCCAACTGACATTCGGTGAAAGCTGGGTACATCCTGGACAGGTTCTGATGCCTGAATAAAGCCAAAGTGAACTGTGTGTAGTGTGGTGGTGTGTGACAAGGTTGAATTAGATCTTTGTGATTTACATTAGAACATCAAATCCATGCCATAAAAACAGACACATATACAAAACCACAATTGGGCCACTAGTGAAATGTCATTGCCAGACCTGGTCCACTTCTCACCATACCAGCAGCTGACCAGCAGAGCTAGCTTGATGCCAGATCTAACCCAGACCTGTCTGCTACGTGGACGGGGTTAGAAAATGAACCACAGGATACAGGATCCACTGGGTGGAGATGAAT